GTACAGCTGAAACTTATTGGATTTTGTTAACCAATGTCACCATAAAAAATAATAAATAAATGAATGAATGAATGAATAAAAGCACTAAACAATACCACATTATTGGAATGGTGAGAACTTGAGCATTTATTTTATTATTTTCTGTAAGTTTGGAATATTTCATAATTTACATTTTTTAATTAAAGTTTAAACAAGCAAAAGGGCAGAATAAATTAAGTAAAAATAGCAAATATTGATAATTGTTAAAGTTGGGTGATGGGTATATAGGTACTCATTCTACTGCTCTTTTTTTGTAAGTTTGACATTTCTGTATAGATTTGAAATTTTAAAAATAAAGCTTTATTAAAAAGTCAAAGAAAATACTTTTGTGATGTAGGTCTATTTTCATCCACTATGCTAGAGAAATTGATAGGTCCTTTGATTTTAGAAGGTTAGGTTTTTCAGTTCTGGGGTTTCTTTTTCTTCGAATTATTTAATTGAGACTTTTCTTTCTGTTTTATTATTATTATTAATTCATTAACTAATTAATTAATTTTGGGGAGAGCTCCTTTTATTGAGACATTGAGAGTCCTGGACTGGTTTTCTAATTTTCTTGTCTTTTTTCATTTTTTTTTTCTTTTTATTCTACTTTTTGGGAAATTCTCAACTTTAACTTTCAAAGAACCCATTTGTTAAGTTTTAATTTTCTGCAATCGTGTTTTTAATTTTAATGAGCTTTTTTTCTTCTTTGAATATTTCTTTGTTATGTCATCTTGTTCTTGCTTCATGAATGTAGCGGCAGTTCCTTATTTCTCTGAGGATGCTAATAATAGGATTTTTTTTTAAGATTTTTTTTTTTATGTCATCTTGTTCTTGCTTCATGAATGTAGCAGCAGTTCCTTATTTCTCTGAGGATGCTAATGATAGGATTTTTTTTTAAGATTTTTTTTTCCTGTACTAATCTTGATTTTCCTAAAGTTTCTTTGGATGTTACCTCTCATGGTGGAGATTTTACTCTGGGACTATCTGTTCATTTTTAAAAAGAAGTGATTTAGAAGCTGACTGAAAATTCTAAATGTGAATGTAAGGCTTGTTAACCTTGAGCTTTTCTGTTGAATGGTGTGGCCGTGCAATTTGTTAAAGAACCACTGATATTAAGAGTGTTAGGTCTTTCTTCCTAAGCTAGTCAAATTTCCCATAGAAGATTTATTCATTCTCCTGCCTGGAGGATAAAGGTCTAACTGCTTTCATCCTTGGAGCTGAGTAGAAAAGCACTCCTCTTGAGTGCTAGGAGAGTGAGATAAGAACAAAGGCAGAGCTTTGACAAAGCTTTCAGCTGATTGTCCTTATTTCTCCACTCTGCTGGTTAAGTCTTTGTTTTATGGTAATTGATTGCATTTGACAGGTGAGAACAGATTTTTCATACTGGTAGCAAGCAAATCCCTATTCTCTATAACTTAACTCTGCTACGTGTTATCTGTATCAAGAGATCTAAGCTAAGGAAGTCTCAGTCTCTGTACTTTCATATTTGCCAAGGCAGAAGGGAACGCAACATGGTGAAATATACTCTGGTCCTTAAAACACCCTCCACAAGTGATACTCACTAGATCATATTGGCCAGAGTATGTCATATGTCTTATCCTTTTTTCAGAGGGGCATACAAATACAATCTTACAGTACGTCTAGGAAGAGAACTCAAAAATACTGGGTGAACAGCACTATTAATATTTTATCTTGGTGCTGATAGTTCCTCTTGGGGTTTTTTCTGCATTCTTCATTCCAGATTTGTTTGCTCTCCAGCTTTCCCCTGCTGGTTTAGGATTTTTCATTTTAAATGGGCTTATCTGGTTACCCCTTATTCATTTTGATGTCTCTATTGCCTTTTCTCCTGTTCTTGATGTTACGTGGGATTATGGCTTGAAAAATTATTTTTAGTTTAAGTGGAATTTCAGAAAGGAGTGAAATTATATGCAGGTATTCAGTCTGACATATTTATCTTAAAAACTATGATTGTAATTTCCTTAAAACTGAAAAAAGAGAATTTTGTAACTTTGCAGCTTTAATGAAAATACAGTTAAACAATGTGATAAGATAGATATTTTGCCAAGTTTTTTTTTGTAAATATTTTTTACTAAGTTTGTATTGGTATGAACAACATTTTGATCTCACAGTTCTTTCTCTGTATGTTGGATTTGAAAAAGTGTTTCTACATGAATGCATAACAATTATAAATAATAGCAATTTGTTTAGTCTTAGAAAAACCAGTTTGTTAAATTTTCCAGAAATCTATTATTTACTTAGGGATTTATTATGTACTTACAAAGCCTTTTGCAAGTGGTAAAGCTTCAAGTTCCTTGTTTTTATCAAAATTAAAGTAGCCTCTAATTTAGTTGTTCTATCAGTTATCTACTGTCTCTAAAACATTGCCTACCAACCAACTACAAACTTCAGTGACAAGCTTCATTTTATTTTTTACACATGTATTTTTTGCTCATGAGTTTATGGGTGTCCCGGATAATTCTAACAGAAGCTTGGCTCAAGCGATCTAGGCTGGGCTCTTGCATCTTTGGTCTTCTGTGAAAGGCCAGACAGCAGTGCTTGTGGAGGTGAGCCAGCTGTCAGTTGAGTATCTTAGTCGCTTCTGGCTGTTGTAACAGAATACCATAGATAGGGTGGATGACTAAACAAAAAACAGTCCAAGAGGCTAAGAAGTCCAAGATCAAGGTGCCAACATACTAGATGTCTGGTGAGAGACTTTTCTTTTTTCCCAGTTTGCAGAGGGCTGCCTTCTTACCATGTTCTCACGTGGAAGAGAGAGAGAGAGAGAGAGAGAGAGAGAGAGAACGAACGAGAGAGCGAGAGCGTGCGCACAAGTTCTCTCTTCCTTTCCTATAAGGACTATAAGGACAGTAAGCCCACCACAGGGGCTCCACCTTCATGACCTAATTACTTCTCAAAGTCCCCCACCTCCAAAATCTGTCATGTTTCGGCTTCGACATGAATTTGGGGGGGGGTGGTAGGACACAAATATTCAGTCCATAACACTGGGGTTGTTCTCATGGTGGTGACAGGGTTACAAGAAAAAAAAGCAAAAGGCTTAGAATTGACACAAAATCACCTTCGCTGCATTTTGTTGGTCAGCATAAGTCACTAGGACAGCTCAGGTCCAAGGTGTGGGAAAATGGACTCTCCTTGACTAGAAGACTCATTGCATCAAACTGTAAAGGATGTGGATATAGGGAAGAGTGGGAATTAAATCTGGTTTCAGTCTTCCAGAGATGTCAGTGATAGATTATTAAAATAATGTTTGATAATAAAAATATAAATGGTGCATATAGCTCCAACGAAATATAAAGAATCGATAACCTTGATAGAATTAAACTCCTGTTCTTGACTATAGACAAATTTCCTCTGTGCTTATGTATAAATAAAATATTTTCGACTAATGCTCAACCCTTCTTTTCAAAAATAGTCCATCCTGATTACAATCAAGAAATGGTTTTCAAAATAATTTTACATTTTATATTTAATAATTACTTGTAAAATTGAAAATATATATTATTTAAATTGTGTATCTCTAATTATAATAAAATTCATTTCAAAAGAAAAAAAATTTAATATTTAGAGTATTATATATTACACAGAAAAGTAAAATGATGAAAAATTTTTAAAAAGCTATCAAACAAAAATATATTTCATTAAAGTAATATTATGTGTGGAGACAGTGGAATCAATACAAAAGAATGGTATAGAATTACCAGTGTTTAAAAGAAAGCTTATTTACATATTTTTAGGTGGATATTGGTGTATGGCAAATCACTAGTTCATTCGATGTAATTGGAAGAGTGGTATAACCATTTTATTTTAAAATGTCATTACTTGTAATATGACATTAAGTATATCCTTTCTAATTGTTATACTTATGATGAAAAGTTTTAGATGTCAGCTGAAATGTGGAGAATATTACACCATTAAAAATATATATACATATATATACACACATACACACAAACACACACATATATGTATGCATGTGTATGTATGTATGTTAGGAAAAAAGAAAAAAGAAAGGAAAAAAGAAAACTATTTTAAGATGATTGTTTTGGGCTTTACAGTACTCCATCATTCCTGACTTCTGTTCCCTATAGTTATATCTAGAGCCCTACATTCATATATTACTCTTTTAAAAAGTCATTTATTATTATTTTTTTCCTGTGTGGATCAGTGATTACTTTTCATTATAAGAAATAAATTGTAAAAGTCATTATAAATTTTATTTGACTCTAAATGATAGAAACTATAGCACCTTTGTTCTCCACTGAGCATCACTGAACCCTCTTGACTTCTTGAGGGCTACAGTCCTGCTGTGTAATCTGATATCCAGTAGACACATTGACTAGCCCAAATGAAGATGTGCTATAAGTGTAGAACACATTGAATTTTGAAGAGTTATTACAAAAAAAGAATGTGAATATAAAATATCTCATTTTAATGTATTGGGGTGTTTCGGATATATCAAGTTTAACAAAATATATACATTAATTTTATCTCTGTTTAAAGCATTTTTAATGTGGTCACTAGGACATCTAAAATTATGTATATGGCTCACATTATATTACCATTGGACAGCATGGATTTAGCCCCAAAATCAGGAACCTCGAGGAGAACTGGGAGTCCTGGAAGGTTGTCTTTGCAGTTACAGTTTTCTCCTTAGAACCTCCAATGTCCCCAGAGGAATCAGAGAGTATGTGACTTCTTTTTCATGTGAGATTCTCCCCTATATCTTATAGGGTTCAAGAGGATCAGGCTATCAAATCAGACTGCTATCTCAGTCAAAAAATGATAAAGAATGGAAGTCATTTCTTCATACAACTGTCTATTATATGCAAATATTAAAGGGAGGCTATTGAAGATGACCAAGAAAGGGGGATCCTGGGAAAAATTGGGTATCCTGAGGAGAAAATGTGTTCTATGGAGGCCTTTAATGTGAGGTGACTCATTTGCCTTTTTTTTCTTTTCAGTTGTTCCAGAACGCTGCGATGACTGGGGACTAGATATCATGAGGCAGATCCAAGTGTTTGAAGATGAGCCAGCTCGCATCAAGTGCCCGCTCTTTGAACATTTTTTGAAATATAACTACAGTACAGCCCATTCAGCTGGCCTTACTCTAATCTGGTATTGGACTAGACAGGACCGGGACCTTGAGGAACCAATTAACTTCCGTCTCCCTGAGAACCGCATTAGTAAGGAGAAAGATGTACTCTGGTTCCGGCCCACCCTCCTCAATGACACGGGCAACTATACCTGCATGTTAAGGTAGCCTGAGTTTTGGTGGCCACTTTCTCTTTTCCCTTTAGTTCCTAGGCCTTTATCCAGAAGATGCATGAGCTATGAAGCTGAGGAGGAAAGAGAAACATTTAGAAAGAGTTACTTACAATTTACCCCAGTGGCTTAGCTGAGCTTGGCTGAGAGAGGTATGAGGAGAAAATGGTTGTGCTCCTGAAAACATTCTCCATAGACGGTTCCTTTTCAAATCCTGACATATATCAAGGTTGTCTAAAGGTAGATCCTCGCTTATTTGTCCCCCTTCCCTGACATTGGAACCTGCCTATACACTTCTGCCCCACCTGGAGGCATCTATATCCCTAAACAATAAGCAGGGCAGGGTGTACAACACACTCATATCTGTTATTCTTGTCAACTTTCAAAGGTCTTAATAAAGCGTTGAGATGCTTGTTATAAGAGAAGGAATATTTGGGAGGCATCAAATGTATCTAGAACATTGCTTTTCAGCCTTTTCTACCAAAATTCTCTTAAGAAACAAATGGACACCATATCTCTGGGAATCTAAGAATATAATACAAAGCGCCCTATCATTACTGCAAAATTTCTTTCAAATCTACTTTTTTTCTTAAAAGTTCATGTAGAGTTTGCATTTTGCTCCAAATATACTATTTTTACTACCAATTGACTTCTTGAGAGCTACAGTCCTGCTGTGTAATCTGATATCCAGTAGACACATTGACTAGCCCAAATGAAGATGTTTTTTTTGCTCTTAAAAAAAATTTAACTGAAGCCCTTCTGAAGAATAATCATTTTAAAACTTAGTTCTTTGGATGTTTTTTTCTCCACGATTCCTTTTTAGCTTTCAGGCTTTATTTTATTTTTTAAATTCCCATCTATGTTATGAACTTTTTTTTTAAAAACATAGTTTCCTACTATTTAATAAGTGCATTGGTTTGCTAGGGCTGCCATAACAAAATACCGCAGATTGGGTATTTAAACAATAAAAATTTGTTTTCTTACAGTCTGGAGGCTAGAATTCCAAGAGTAAGGTATAGGCAGGGTTGGTTTAATTCATCTGTCCTTGGTTTGGAGATGGTCATATTCTCTCCATGTCTTCACATGGTCTCTCTCGTGTTTTCTGTGTCCTAAACTCTTCTATAAGAACATTAGTCATATTGAATTAGAGCCTGCCCATATGACCTCATTTTACCTTACTTATCTCTTTCAAGGCCTATCTCTAAATATACTCTGAGGTACTGGGGATTAGGTCTTCAATGTATGAATTCGATGAGGTCACAATTCAGCCCATAACAATAGGGCTGAATAACATAGCAATACTCCAACTTAGAATAACATAACATAACAGTAAGTAATCTCAGACCTTCTTCTGAATGTTCAATGTCATAAATGGATATTAACTGTTCTCTGATGGAGAACTTTGACTATGCTTTGATAAATTTAAACTATGTAATGATTGTGGAGAAAGACCTTTTCTCTGTCACAGGAACAAATTTTGACCACTGTGGCCTTGAGAGTCCCTTGTAACCTCTGAAGGCCCTTCTGAGATTTTCGCATGATTCTTTATTTTTATTAAAATGGGTTCTAGACTGGTGTGTAGGCTTCCAAGGAGCCTGAAATACTCATGTTTCCATTATTTATATACTAATATCACTTTATTGGAGAAGTTAGAAAAGATTATAGTGGAAAAAACACTGGATGAGTAGACAGAAAGCCTAGGCTACCACCCAGTTATGTCACTACTTAGCTGGTGGACCTTTGTCAAGTCAGTCCGTGTCTGAGAGCTTTGGTATCTATATCTGCATAAAGAGAAAGTCAGCCTCAATGCTCTTTAAGCTCCTTTTCATCTTTGGCAGTTGTTATTGCATTACCATTCCAACATGAACATCAGCAAATATCTGGGAAGGGGTCATCAGTAGCTTTCTGGATGACCTTGGTCTCTAATATGCATTCTAGTGCTTCAGTATCTCAATTTCCTTTTCCTCAGCAACCCACTACTTGTCTAGAGCTCTTCCCCAAACTTTTAAAACCTTCTTTGACATTACAGGAACAGGGTTGTATGGTTGTGAAGGCCTAAGTATACCTTTAGTGTTATTTATCAATTTCCAGATGGTCTCTTTAATTTACCTGTCTGCCTATCTATGTTTCTAAAGAAAATCTAGAAGCTTGTCAATGTCCTGAGGTGATTCCTAAACTGAGAATCACCTTAAACTGAACCACATGAAATCATAGGCCTGATGTCCTTAAGGCTATCAAGTTCAGATTCACCCTCCCAGATTTCACTGGTTGTATTTTTGCTATTTGTTGGTAGAGATTATGCCTACCAATCTCCTTTTCCAGCTTATTATCATTGTCCTAAGTCATTTTTAAGTACCCTTTCCTCCCACCTAAATACAATGTGCATTCCTCCACACCTTCCATTGTATTTAGAATTAATTCATGAGTCATTGACTATCTATGTATTTGATCCCTTAAATAGAAATTATAAAAAGAATAGACCCATTTCCCTATCTCTCTAAAAAATTAGTTGTCTTATTATTTATGTTTTATTTATTGTTTTTCTGTATATACACACAAGTTTCAAATATTCATTCACCACCTACTGAAAGTTTAAACACTGTACTAGATGCAAGGAATAAAAGAAATCACACAAGGTCATGTCTTTGTTTAAACTATGAAAAATTCAATCAAAGGAATGTCTAAGGTGCTCAGAAAATGAGTGCATAGATATGGGTGCATAGAGGATGGCAGAGAAGACCTCCATGTGTAAGGTAGGATGATGGGAGAAGAGCCTTCCAGACAGATGAAACAACCTATTGCAGACATTAAAAGCTAAATATGATTCTCCAGCAATCCTAAGAAGTTTTATGTGTTTGTTAGTTTTTTTCCTTCATGCTTGATTTTTTTTATAGGTGCGTACAACTTTGAATGGTTGTACCATGATTATCTTTACAGTCTTATGTTTTGTAGCTTTTTCTTTTGATTCCATTGTTTTCCTTGTAGACATAGCACTGGAAGAGAATTTTTGATTAATTTCCCATAATTCTATCATGTGAAAAAATTTCCAGAAATAAAATTACTAAAACAAAAGCTTTTTTAAAAATGGTTTTAGAAACATACTTATTTACCAAAGGTTGTTTATATACCATTATTAACCATGAGTTAATATGCTAGTCTTACCTTTGCGTTACCGATACTGAGTACTGCTGAGAATGTTTTAAGGCTAAAGTTAAAAAATTTATACACACACACACACACATGCACATACATACATACATACATACCTACACACATACATATGCATGTTTAGGAGAATTTCTAAAAATATAAATATTTTAATATATCAATAGTAGTTATTGTGTCTGTTTTTATTCTGTGATGTCAATTGATACAGGAAATACCTCCGTAACATATTTAGTTCTTACATAGATTTAACGTATAAATAAAGTCTCAATACATAGCATTACTTAGCTCATTTTATCGTGTTTACTGCATTAAAACAAATGCAAATGAGACTGCCCATTCATTGTATATTTCTCTTTTCAGGAACATCTCATATTGCAGCAAAGTTGCATTTCCTCTGGAAGTTGTTCAAAAAGATAGCTGCTTCAATTCTCCCATGAAAGTCCCAGTGCATAGACTGTTTCTTGAATATGGTGTTCAGAAGATCACTTGTCCAAATGTAGATGGATTTTTTCCTTCCAGTGTCAAACCAACTGTCACTTGGTATATGGTAAGCAAACTAGAGGGCATGTCACCCTCTCTAAAATAGCAATAGTTATTTGTCGAGTTAATGCAGAAACAGATTTTTCTCATCAGATTTTTTAATGTCTTCCATAGTGACTTTATACAAATCTTTTACTGCTTCCTTACCTTGCAACATTTTAAAGGAAGTGGTGGAGAACGCTTTGCCTCAATCAACCATTTCTTAAATAACATTCACTGGACTACTAAAACTACTTTATTTCTATTAACTTTCTATAAAATACAATTTTAGAACTGTTGCCCACTTCTATTCACTGCTCAGTGGAATCAGAAGCTACCTGTTCATCTGGTGAATTTTAATTCCTTGACTCGCCAGTACTATATTTTGTTACTTATAAGTGTTTTCATATTTGCCCTCATTTGTGGCCGCAGTCCATCTGTGGTCTCTTCTACATCTGAGGGATTTGGGAAATTTTGTAATCAAAAATAAATTGTTGGAAGGTAGCATTTGTGGCAGCAGCATAGTTGTCTAATCTCTTCAAATATCCACATAAGCCAAAGCCTAAAACTAGAGAACATTTAAAACAAAACTCAGTGACAAGTTATCCACAAGAATCACTTTCAATAAAACCAGTGAGACAAACCACAAACATGACCCATAAAAAATCCATTTTTATAGTTAAGAGAGTAGATATAAGTAATGTGGTACCTGACAAACTTGAGAACAGAACCCCAGAAAAGCCAGTGAGAACTCACTGGAAAGTGTGGTGGACCATTTTGAGAACAACAGCTGAAACTGGAAGGATTTTGCTGCCTAATAGACAATGAATCCAAGAGACCTGTAGTAAGAAATTTCGAAGGGCTGGAATAGTTCTAGTGCCTTGGAGCTCTGAAAAACACCCATCCATACTGAGGAGAAATGTCTGGAAGTGAAATCAAAAGTAAATGAGATCAGAAGGGAAGAGAAGGACCAGAGGGCCAGAACAGAGGAAGAGCAGAACAGAATCAAGAAATATCAAGACCATAGTTTTAAAGAGGGATCTCTGTGAAATTACAAATCTTGCCAGATGATAAAGCTTAGAAAAATAACTGGTCTCATATAAAAATGAGCAGCAAAAAGAATCAAAGTATAATCCCATTTAAAATTATAAGAAAAAGAATAAGAAGCAGAATAATATCCTACAGACCAAAAAAGCATTGCAGAAAGACATATCATAACCCAATATTTCAAAAATGAGCTGAAAAACATTAAGAAATGATACGAGATGAGAAAGAATAACAAAAAATAAATAAGAAATAGAAAAGTCCAGAAATTTTAAAACTCAGTAAAAACTTAGAAGAAAATGAGTCATTTTAGAAATGAAGCTAAACCAAGAGGAACATAACAGCAGGTGAACATAATAGGTAATGCCTTAAGATTAATGAGAGTGGAAGGGAGAAAAAAAATTTTAATAGAAAATAAATGATGAATGAAAATAAGATGGGTAGAATGGATATCCCAAAATCCCATAAAATAGACTCTAAGACAATGGGTATTTTTAGAGATAAAGAGGACTTTTCAGAATAATAAAAGGGTCAATTCATCAGGAAGGCATAAAATAAAATAATAATAATAGTATTTCAAAATGCATGAAGCAAAAATTGACAGAATTAAAAGAATAGACAACTCCATAAATCATAATTGAATATTTTAGCATCTGTCTCTGTTTAAGTCAGTAATGAAATGACTTAGGATCCATCTTTAAGAAACTTCCATTGGCAAAATGGAATAACTTGAATAAAGATATTAATTGTAATGGGTCGAATTCAATGAATTAAATTTACACCCTTAAATTTATAATGCTATTTTGAAATATTTAATTGATTACATTTGGATGATAGGATATCAATTTGTTATCTTGAAAACTAGTAAAAAAAGGGGGAAAAGTAAATATTTATTCTGCCTTTTCCATTAAGAAATGTACACTGTGTTAAGAAATGGTGTAGAGAAGTGTGTTTTTATAGCAATATGTAATCACTTTGCAACCCCCAATGACTTAATATTATCTAAGCATTAAGCATCAATGATAGCTATCATCACAAGAAGAGAGACAGCCAGACATATTCTTTCTGATGAAAGGAAGCAATTTCATTCATAATTGTGCCAAATGGATTAAAACTAAGTTTGAGTAAAACTTTGGATCCTCCTGCCATTTTGAGGGAATTATAGAGAACAGAGTAATATATTGATCTGTACCATGAGTTTGCAGTCAGCAAGATCCAGACTGTGGAAAATTTTGTATGTCAAATGCCTTGGGTTATTCAACAGATAATTGTAAGAAAAAGAAAGGCATGGTGTGGGAATGTATAGATTAAAGGAAACATGTAAGACATTTAAAAATGGATGAGACTGTTGTGTCTAAGGTTGCACACACGAGTGATAAAATTATAAATGAAAATGAGGAAGTGATTTTACTATGAAAGTATAGATAGTGGCTACTTTTGGGGATAGAAAAGAGCTGGGATTGACATAGGGCATGTGGATGAACTTCAAGGGTGACTGGCAGTGTTCTATTTTTGGACTTGATCTGTGGTTCAAAGGTTATAATAACTCATTAACTCATACATATGTTTTGAGTCTTTTTATTCTACATGCTATGTTTTATAATATAATGATTCAGAAAAAGGGAGGGATGGAAAGGAGAGAGCAAGAGAGAGAAAGAGAGAGACTGATTTAAGATATATAACAACCAATTGTAATATGTGAACCTTAGATGGTGTTTTATTCAAACAAATTATAAAACAAGTTATGAGAAAATCAAAATATCTAAACAGAGAATATTAATGATATTGATGAATTATTATTTCTTTTTAAATTGTGAAAATGGCACTATAGTTTTATGCTTGAAAAAGGTGTCTTGTCATTTACAGATACATATAAATATTTACATATGAAATTATATGTTGTCTGTGATTTGCTTCAAAATAATCTTGGAGTGCAGTGAGTGGGTATAGGTGAAAAAAGACATACCCTGAATTGGTACTTTTGAGGCTAGATATGGGTACAGGAGATCATGCTATATTTTCTTTGTGATTGTAATTTTCCATAGTAAAAAGCGTAAAGAATGATTTAAAGAATAATGTTAACAATTTTATACCAACAAGTGTAATATATCTTCCAGCTTAAAAAAATGTGTTCATCTGTTTATCAAGGTTTCTTATTCTATTCACTTTTTCTATACTTTGAATACCCACTGGCCTGAAACATTAATTTTATTTTCTTATATATTTTATAATTTTCTCCTTTTTCTCCATGCATTCCCTCTCCCTGGAATGTCCTCTCTTCTTCCTTTAGAACAGATCAAATTCTATTACCTCACGAAATGCTCCCTGTTCTCTCCCACTGAAAATAATTTTTCCCTCTTATAATCCCATAGCTATTTATTTATGTCTGTTTCCATGTCACTTTTTCACTTTCTTTATTGTTTCATAGTCTTTCATTCACATATACATTTAACACATATTTGTTGACTATTAACTGTAGTCCATGCCAGGGATTTGGGGAACACAGTAGTGAATGAGATATATGTCCAATCCTACATAGTTCCAAAGGATCTCACAATTTCATTGACGAATTTACAAATAAGAATTCCTATTCTTATCAAAAAGTAGAGTTCTAATTCAACTTTTCTCTTTGGAGTGCCAAAGAGAATTTATTGTTGGTCTTAAGAAGAGGGAGAAATTTACATGTGTGTATTCTTTGAGATTGACTATTACTTGAGAGCAAAGTTAGGCCATACCCATCTCTGTATTTCCCATGATTCCTATATTTCTGCTTTTTCTGGTTAGATGAATGTCGGTGCTATTAACCAAGGTATGAAATAAGAGAGGAGGACCAGATTTGAGGAGCAAGTCAAGGATTTAGAAAGTCATACTGAGTTAGAGGTGTCTGTAAGACATCCAGGTGGCAGTGACCAGTAGGCAGTGGCTACATGTGTATGGGTCTGGAGCTCAGAAGAAAAGTCAAAGTTGGAGACAGAACTGGATGCATCTATATGATAATTGGAGCCCTTAGGAAGACAAAATAAAGTGAGAAGAGAAAAGGGCTAAGGTCAAAATCTGGAGAGAATGTTCATGGGGTGAATTAAAGCAGAAAACCTGAAAATAAGACCAAGAAAAAAGTGGTCAAACCATTGCCATGGCAGATACCCAACAGTGTACAGATGACTAAAAGAAACTGGTTACCAGCCAGTCTTTCAGTTCTATGATTATAAAAAGCCACTGTTGATGTGTGGTATATGCTGCTTTTATTTCTCTGTCTTTGGATAATTGACTGCCACCTTTTATCTTAAGAGTTCTGCCATTTTGAGAACAAAATCAGAGTTCTTTGTAGCTGCATTCATCCATCACTGTATAGCAATGCTGACCTTTTCTACCTTCTGTGGTCACTCCCTACATCCACCTACGTATCTTGGCCCTCCTGGAAAAGTTCTGTTTTAATTGTTATCAGTTGAATTCCCTACCTCGATGTGGTAGAAATAGTCTCTTTTAGTAATACAAATATCTCTATAAGAGTTAATAGACATTAATCAGTTTCAGCAATTTACTTCCTGTTTGCAAAAAGATGAAAACCGATAAATTAAAAGAAGAAAAAAGAAACTAACAATTCTTGCATCTTACTAGTAAAATACATTGTGCCAGGTACTTTATATGTTATATATCATATTCATCAGAATTTTTGTGTAGACATTATTATCCTTTTACGGATTAGGAAACAGAGACTCAGAGAGGTAAACAATAGAGCTAACATTTATTGAGCACGAGAATTCTTCCAAATGCTTTAATTATTTTATTTAATTCTCTAAAAATGAATTATCTCACTTTATTTATTGTTAAAAAGACCAAAAGATAGAGCAGTTGAGAGATTTGCCCAAGGTCACAGAGCTAGGAGCCAGGATTCAACCCTATGCAATCTATATCAAGTATATACTTTTACATTATAGCACACATGTCATTTACCCTAGTCAAAAGAATCTAGCTGATAATGGGAGAATCTGAGATTTCAGGTCATTTCTGTTTGGTTTCAAGCCTAGACTCCCCAGAAATCAGAGAGAGAGGTCCATTCTTCGCTTCTGGAGCTTAGGACACTTTAAAGGGTGAGATGGTCTTTGAATACAGATTGGGTTGTAGGCTGAACTGTGGGACACAGGGAAACCTGTGGATAGAGGGCCCTGGGGAATGAGAGGGGGCTCAGCAAAACTGAGATTGGAGGGAATAGAAAATTAAAATATTGTATTTCAGAATTACAGAGGAAATAGAGCAGAACTGAATTTTCCTCCTTGGCATTTCTTTTCTTCTTTCGTCCTCTCTTTTGCATGCCAGGGTTTTCTTCATTTAGGGCCCAGAATTCGTAGTGTTTTAATTCAACAGTCTTGTGCGTTAAATTGATGTTCAGTAGATGTTTGTTGAATGAGCCAGGTTTTGTAACTAGCCTATAAAGCAAATCGTCGTTTGTAAGTGATTTACTGAATTTCAAATAGCCAACTTATAAAAGAACTTCTGGAACACAACATGTATATAAATTGGAGGTTGCCTGTTTAGTCACATAGAGAATATGTGAATAAATAGCATTAAAGATGCAGGTAAGTGAGATCTTGTTGTTATTTTTACTATTATTAATAGAGTTATTCAGAGACCTGAATTTTAAATTATGGCAAGCCATCCTAACTTTCATATTACTGGACTATTTCTCTTTCTCATTGTTGTAATTGGATATTTGATTCCCCCTTTCTCTCGCCCCAAAGATACTTATAAAAACAGAAGAAAATTTCCCTTTTTTTTTTCTGAGAATCAGAGCAACCATGTTATTGGGTATTTTGGATAATACATTTATAACGGCTGCCAAAATGCTCTACATTGCTATTAAGGAGAATGGATTTCATTCTGGAGATCAGTTTGCAAAAAGTTGCTTGTCCTTGTACTTAGTATAATCATTAAAATTGGTATATTACCTCTACCTCTGATTTGCAGTATGAAATTAACTAGAATTGGTCAGATACTGTTTATAAATCTCTTCAGAAAATAGGAAAATCTTTGCTTTTTCTGACAAAATGCCATCGGGAAAGCACAGTTCTGAAAAAGTGCCAGGTTTGGCCTTCTTTTTGGCATAGCATGTACTGTTGAAAAGTTAGTCCAAGGTCTGTGTGATAGATTTTATTTTTAAAGTGCTTGTTTCAGTTCTATCTGACACCTTAGTTTGGTTGGTTCTTTATCTTTTTTCTTTCTCTCCAGTCACCCTGTATAGTGATTTTTAATCTTTGGTGTAAAGTCATTATGTATCATATTTTCTTTCCAAACTGTACATTTTTAATTCCAGATATGCATATATGTATATACAGCATTTTACATGTAGTTTCAGGGCTTCTGAGGCTCCAAGATTCATCCTCTAAACTTAAACCCAGTTCAAATATCTGCAAAGCCTTGAGGCTGAATTAGGCTGAATGAGTCACCCACTCTCTATTTTGATAGCACTTAATTTATATCTCATCTTTGTTACTATAATGATTGCATTTCTCTTTTCTGTACCTGATAGTGGCTTCTCTTTTTCTTTCTCTTGAATATCAAGCACACAGCACAAAAGTGAGCAAACACACTTTGTATTTAGAAATTGATTAAATTTATTGAATGAGTTAGATCGGGCTGGAAAATTCCATGGGGATAAGGGTCATTTCTGCCTTTACTGGCTACTATATGCCCCACTTCTAATACAGTGTTTGTCACATAGGAGGGATTTTGTAAATATTTGTTGTTTAAACATTGAATGACTTTAGTTTTGTTCATTGAAGTAACTAGTGTATAGAACTTTTATGAGACTTTGTGAACAAGTATGATGTATTTTATACCAACTTAATCTTTGTTTTGCAATGTCAATAAATATCCCTAACTGTGCTAACCTTAAAGCTCAATTAAACTCTTTGTATCCTTACTCCCACTTTCCCCACCCGTCCTGCAACACACCCATCTCACATCTTATATTTTATACAGTCTTCTTCTTATGATCATACTGCATCAACTTTCAACTCCATGTCTTGTGTCTTTGCTTTTCTCATTTATATTTTTGAAAATGCAACACACATATATTGAGTATTTACCATGTGCCCAGTAAATGGCAAGTTGCTGGCCATGCAAATGCAAATACAGTACTCATCGAGCCTCACTTGTCTCCTAGAGGAAGAGATAAACATGAAAAGAGATGATTATAATAAAGTTAAGTACTAACATGGAGGGCAAAATGCTGACAGTTCAGGCAAATCGTTCACTTTTCCCATGGCTAGAGTGTTGCTCTCCCGTGTCTTCCCTCCTAGTTAATAGCTGTTAATATTTTACTTGTCCTTTAAGATCCAGTTCACATCTTCCTTCTCTATGAAATTTTCCTAAATAGTTTATGTTTGAACTTCTTCCCATATTCCCCCATCCCTATATGCCCTTCATAGTGTTTGTTGCAATCTTCCACTAGACTGTGCATACCTATAGGTTAGGAACTATGCCCTGTCTAGTTTTTGTGCCATCACACAGGGTAATGTTGACTTCATAAAATGCCTTAGGAAGTACTGCCTCTTCTTCAGTTTTTGGAAAATTTTGAGAACAAATCATCTTTGAAAGTTTGGTAGAATTCACTAGTATAGCCATCTGCTCCTGGATTTTAACTTTTTGGAAGGTTTTTGATGATTTTAGTACATTCTTAACAAGTACTGTTTATAAATTCAGTACTAATAGCTAACTTGTCATCTTGAAAAGTATGCTTTTCCAGTTTACCACCAACTGCTGGAATCAACCTTAGATGGGTGATAGAACCACATCACACTATTAACACTAGAGCTGGCCCCAGGTGCGGCATATGTGCAAGACCACAGTTTATAGAGTAAAATGACAGTGTCAGGTGGGATTAAAAGCAAGGACCTCAAAACAGGTAAATCTAGGTTCAAAATCCAACTGTCACTGCCTGGCTCTTTGACATTGACAATTAACCTTTCTGACCCTTTGTATTCTCTTCTATAAAATGGGCATAAGAGCATTCCACACTTGCTAAATTTGGAATAAGGATCAAATGGGCTAATGTAGTATATGTAAATGTATGTCTCAGTATAATTTTTTCAGCCTCAACTAACTGCTGAGGAGAAGTATTTATTCTTGGGTAAGAAGCTAGTAAAAGACCTTTATTCAGTTGTATGGAAAATGTAGTTTTTTCTCTGCACTGTGTTATCTGGAATATCTCTTTATCTGTCTGTCTCACTTGTAAAACTAGGGCATATTTAGCCTGATCTGTCTACTTAACAGGGATTTAAGAACAGCTAAGCTAACAAAAGAGAGAAGACAATAGCTTTGTACTGTTTAAATGAAAGGTGTCACAGAAATCAAATAGAGTTCTATAGATAGTCTAAATCAATTTAAGTCAAATCTGACATAAGTTCATTGTAAGAGTACAGACCTTTGTGGCCTTATAGTTTGTAATAACCTAAGAGTGTTGAAATCTTTTGCTCATGTGGCAAATGTTTAGAAGCACTTTTATCAAAACAGGATAAATTGCATTTGGAAAATAACAGCATATATCAGCTTCTTTGTGATGATCATCTCCATGAATCAAATGTTTAGTACTATTCTTAAAAGATGTATTTCCTGTTACAAAGAATTACAAAATGTGTCACTTAGTGTAACTGTCATATTTCAAAACACATGCTCCAGGAATTGAAGTAAGAAAACCTTAAGTATACAAGAATAAAAATTAAATATGTGGAAACAGGAAATTGAAAGTACAAGCCAGTAATAGACTCCCAGAATTTTAAAGATCTAAAGGAGCTTAGAGATACCTATTTTTTTCTCATAGATGAATTATTGATTTTAAAAAGAAAAACAAATTTTCTCTAAAAGTAGATGTTCAACATGGTTTGATCACAGATGATTACATCAATTTTTTTCTCAATAATAATAATAATAATAATAATAATATAACCAGTTAGTGAGGCTGAGAGATTCAAAAGGGATTCTTGTTATAGTGAATAAAATATTTCAATCTCAAAATTTTAAAAATCAGCTGAGTTTTATGAAATTGTCAATTGGAACAAAAATAAACTCAACTCTTGGTAAGACTCATAAAATATATTTTATTTTTAGATTCTTGAGTCTGTGTTATCCAGTTGCAACAAACAAGATAAGTAGAAGAAAAATACCAAAAAGTTGGGAAATAACTGATTCAACAGAGTGCTCAAGAATGCCAATGTTAGACATCTAAAGTGGGGCCTAATTTGTCAAGCAGAGTGACTGGATTTCTGAATTAATATAAACAATGCAGAAATGTAAAAATGAAGAAATTTAAATGAAGAAATTTAAATTTTTTTTTAAATAACAGAGCAAACAGTTGTTCAGGTTGCCTTAGTTGTTTTCCAGAATTTTAACCTTGCTTCACTATTAACATGAGATTTTCAGAATTCGAATACTGGATCTTAAGACAGGAAACTGGTACTTTTGAATTTATATCTCACTTCGGAATTTTAATTTTCTTTTGCAGTAAAGATAATGAAACGTAATGCATTTACTCTTTGCAGAAACATTGTCAAATACTTGAGCAAAATAGTTTTGTAAAAGATGTGGCCAGCATAGATATTTGTATGTTCTGTGCAAAATTAGATGTGTGCATGTGCTTGAATATTTTCTCTGCATGTATCTGAATAGTAAACATCTTTTATTTCTTCTAGGGCTGTCATAAAATACAGGACTTTAATAATGTGGTCCCTGAAGGCATGAACTTGAGTTTTCTCATAGCCTTGGTTTCAAATAATGGAGATTACACATGTGTTGTTACATATGCAGAAAATGGGCGTACATTCCATCTCACAAGGACTCTGACTGTAAAGGTGGTAGGTAAGCATGATTTGTATTAAGTGCACACAACAAAAATGCAGCAATCTTGTTTTAGCTCTTAATAGTTTATTACAAACAAGTATGTAAACTTTATAAAAAGAGAGGCTTATCTTTTTGTTTATTGTACTATCCCCAGAATCTTTAGCAATTCCATGTACATAGTAGCCATTCGTTAACTATAGATCTACTGAATGAATATGTGAATCAGTGAAATAAAGGCAGTTTGGGCAATAAAAGGTGTGCCAGATAGATCTGTGTTCAAATTATACTACTGCTATTTATTGGCAAAATGATTTTGATCAAAGTCTCAGTCTCCTTATCTGTACTCTCAGACTTAAGACTACCTAATATGCAGGATAGCTGAGAATATTAGAATAAATATACGTATTAATCTAATGTAGTTCCAGGCAAGCAATAGAGACTCAATGAATAGTAGTTAATATTACTGTCACAAAAGCATTTTACTTGAATTAAGTAAACCATGTATTTCTACGTACTCAAACTATTATAGTTAATGCTGAAGGTATTTGCTGGCAGTGTTCAACCATTGCTTTGCATTGAGAGAAGAGGGAATGAGAAACTAGGGCAGTGGAAGGACAGGACCTACACAGAGTCGGCAGACTCCAGTCAAACCCAAAACCAAGGGAACCAGTGTCAGGGTAGGTGGTATTTAGAGGAAAGCCCTAAATACCACTGTGTTCACGGTATTTAAAATGAGAGCATACCAAGAGTGAAATTTTGTCAAACTCCATCATTTAATAGATGGAAACACTGAGATTCAACAAAAGCAGGTAACCTGTTCAGAGACATTCCATGAGTCAGTGGAAGAGTGATTCTAAATCCCAGGTTTCTGACTTTTCGTTCAAAGCTTTTTCTACAAGTCAGACGCCAGATTCAGTATATATGTTTCTTTAAAAGGAGCTTTAACATAGTGAAAATACATTTCAAATCTAACACTTTTATAATCACTTTTCCACTTTTATTGCTCACTTTCTGAATAGTGCTGAGTTGGGGACTAATTCAGAAGAAAAATCAGACTAAATTTAGAACCTAACATGAATGGACTTTAAAAGTCAAATGAATAATCTAACCTTGTATTTATCTTGGAGTTTGTTTCCAATACATGTATATTTAAATGTAGTAGATGCTTTAATATGCATTACTTAATTTAATCCTTATAATGAACCTCTGGGATGAGTTTAATTACACTAGCCTTTGAATTGAGGAAAATTAACTTTTCAAAGATTTAGTAAAAAAACAGTCATATGATTAATATGTGACCAAATTGGAATTAGAATACCCTGGTCATTAAATCTTTGAAGCCTGTATTCTTAAACATTACAATATAAACCTTCTTCAGGATATTTTTTCTTTAAATGTAGGAATACAGAATTTTATAAACAGCAGCAATTATATGAATGAACCTTCAACAGATAACTAGACATCAGGTAGACTTACATTGCTGGCCTCACAGTTGTGATTTTGAATTTTCCATTTACTTATTCGTTCAATACCTATTTAACCAGGTCCCATACTAGACACTCTGGGAATGTTGAAGAGAAATACATAGAAAAGAAACAATTGAGCAAGTGAAAGCAGTTTATTATGATGTGTAGTATGAAAAATCTATCTCATATAAGCTTTGGAAAGCAAAAACACTGGTAATATTTTTTTCCTGAAATATAGAGGATAATCAATATGTTATGTTTGTTTCTTTGCTTGTTTTAAATGACTGAAATGTTATAATTTACAACATATTGGACTGTGGGCCCTCTCAAGAAGAATTGACAAACTATTCCTTTATTATGATGTGTAGTATGAAAAATCTATCTCGTATAAGCTTTGGAAAGCAAAAACACTGGTAATATTTTTTTCCTGAAATATAGAGGATAATCAATATGTTATGTTTGTTTCTTTGCTTGTTTTAAATGACTGAAATGTTATAATTTACAACATATTGGACTGTGGGCCCTCTCAAGAAGAATTGACAAACTATTCCAGGAAGTTGGGCAAGGCTTCACAGAAGAGAAGATTTTTGAAATGGGTTATAAAAGATAAAGACTATGTGACTTAACATCATCTCCTTTTGTTCTTTACTTTCTCACAGGCTCTCCAAAAGATGCATTGCCTCCCCAGATCTATTCACCCAATGATCTTGTGGTCTATGAGAAAGAACCAGGTAATTAGAGCTGTGCCTCTGAATTTCAGTTAAATCTCTTAATCACAGGGAATAAAATGTCACATAAGTTACCACAAGAGAAGAGAGGGCTATCGTAAAAACACACATGAATTGAAACTGATGTTGTCAGAAACTAAGGCATTCTGGGTATTGGATACCTCATAGATCTCATGGGGAGCTCAGGGATTATCTGCTTCCCTCTTAGCAGCTGCTCCCTTCTTCTTCTTCTAAGCAGGTTTCCTCTCTTGATTAGTGATTGATGCACACTTTAGCTTGCACAAAGTTTTGGGGTTCAAGGCTACAACATGAGCACAAGCAATCCTTTAAGCTTCTGTTCCACTGTAAGGGGGCAGGATTGGAGCTCAGAGTCAAGACTATGAATATAACAGGTTAACAACTCATAGAACTAGTACACTCTGATTCAGAACACTATCAAATGTTTGCTAGGCTGTCTGGGTCTCTTTTTAGTTTTTATAATTTTTCATTCTAGGCAAAAATCACTTATAACTGACCAAATAAGGTATAATTCATTAGTTTTCTGACTCAGAGCTTCCCACAGTTAAGGTGAAAACCGTAGATAATTTTAACATTTTCTTTATTGTATCTTTTATAATAAATTGACTGCAAACCCAATGAGAGGTATAAAAGAAAATTTGTTTAAAATGTACTAAAGGTAATAGAGGCAGTGATCAACATAAATGGAGAACAACAATCCCCCCCCCAAAAAAAATTAAGATAATGTTTTAAATAGTGATCTGCCTTGTAAGAACAGAAAGAATACACTCAGGCTTCTGCTAACCCCAAAATGACCAAATTTTCTCAAATTAGTAGTGGCTTTACATAATGTGCACCCTTTTTCCTGCTAACAGGGTAAATTCTTATTAATCATTTAGATATGTTTTATCTACCTATGATATGGTTATGAAAGCATGCTGAATTCATGTTCATTTTATCTTTCTACATATCGATATAGAAAACTAGAGGGGAAGGCATAAGAAGCATGAAGAGTGGATAGAATATGACCACTAAGATAAACCTGAGTTCGAATCAGGATGACAATATAATTTATCATCTCAACCTGGATACTTTTGGAGAGTGAAAGCAGTCAATATTAATAACTAACTAGAAAGCAAGCATAAAACAGAACTGTCCTGGGCAACCTGGAATAGGTCAATCTATGTCAAATCTTGGCCTTCTACTTATCAATAATTTGATTTAGAAATGGCATTTAATATCTTTAAGTTTCAATTTTTTACATCTGTAAATCATGAATTAAAAAAAAAAATACCTCATGGGACTACCTAAAAATTACAGCTAAACAACAGAACAACCATCATTGAGAATCGCTTGAAGACTAGCTGAACTGATAACTAAGTTCTATAACTAAAGGAGGGGGTAGAGATGTGGAACTGGCTGGTCTTATACTCACTTGTGTCAGTTCAAAAATCAGCTATCTTGGCTTTAGAAACTCTCCACTGAGGAGAGAGGGGTCCCAGGCCCATATTATGCAATCCAGCCAGGCTTCCAATGCTGGGGAGAGAAGTTCCCATAACTTCTGGCTGTGAAAACCAGCGCAGATTGTAGCTGAGTGAGACAGGGGGTTGCTGGAGTTACAAGTACTCCTCTTAAAGGGCCCACACATGGACTTACTCACCGACAGACTTGTTCTATTCTCTGAGTTCCAGTGCTGGGACAGCAGCTGAAATGGTGCCAGGGACATACAGGGAGGAACTGAATTGTCTGGCTTCAGGGCAACGAGTGGTGGGGCAGCTTTTTCCCAGACAGAAGTACTGGTAGAAACCATTGTTCCTTTGTTTAGCCCTCCTACCACCCAGCCTCCACTCACAGGCAGGCACCATATCTGAGTCTCCATCAACCTAGTTAACACCATTTGCCTCACTCGAATGGTGCCAGGGACATACAGGGAGGAACTGAAGTGTCTGGCTTCAGGGCAACGAGTGGTGGGGCAGCTTTTTCCCAGACAAAAGTGCTGGTAGAAACCATTGTTCCTTTGTTTAGCCCTCCTACCACCCAGCCTCCACTCACAGGCAGGCACCATATCTGAGTCTCCATCAACCTAGTTAACACCATTTGCCTCACTCCGTTGACTCCTCGAGACCCCATCCCACCCAAATTGTGGGGCCACCCAAGCCTCTTCCAGTGTTTTTTTCATACAATTGGCTCATATTGCAGACTTTCCTGAAGTCTCTCAAAGGTTTACAAACTCCTAACAAGCAGCATCTGGCTTCAGCATGCTTTGTACCACTTGCTAAACAGCTCCATGCCTGGCGCTAGAAGCAGCCAGCCTCAATTCACATCTTAGACTCTTCCAGGCACTTTCAAGCCCAGCACAAATGGCAACCATCTGAAGATTACTTTGTAGCTCATACCATGTGGCCCTGGGCAGGGCACAGGTAATGGCTGAACTTGGCCTACACCAGAGCCCTTCCCAATAGGCCACAGAACCAACATATCCAGTGGCCAGCTTCAGACCACACTAAAGTAGCACCCCATTGCCTCTAGAAATGACACACCCAAAGGGCAGACTGAGCAGGCACTAGAGCCCCGCTAACGCATATCCTGCTCCATAGGGTCAGCTCCTACACAACAGCTCCTCCACTGCAGTCACAGCTAGTCCTCACAACCAATCAGTCTGTGGGTCAATCCCTCCCACTGACATGCAAACAGCGACCAAGGTTCAACTACTATAGGAGGGCACATATAACCCATCCAAGGAGCACACCTGGAGCACCTGGCTCAGGTGACCAGGGAGATTGCACCATTGGTCCCCACAAGACATCTACTACATAAGACCACTCTACCAAGACCAGGGGACATAGCATAGAAATAGAAGTAGACACAGGGAGGGAGCCAAAATGAGGAGACAAAGAAACATGTCCCAAATGAAAGATCAGAACAAAACTCCAGAAAATGAACTAAACAAAATGGAGACAAGCAATCTACCAGATCACTGGTTGTAAAGATACTCAGTGATCTCAGTGAGAACTTCAACAAGGAGATAGGAAACATAAAAATAGAGTGAGAAAACATAAAAAGAAACAGTCCTAAATGAAGAATACAATAAGTGAAATGAAAAGTACATTAGAGGGAATCAACAGCAGATTAGATAAAGCAGAGGATCAAATTAGCAATTTAGAAAGCAAGATAGCAGAAAACACCAAATTAAAACAGCAACAAGAAAAAAGAATCCAAAAAAAATGAGGATAATTTAAGGGACTTCTGGGACAACATCAAACATTCCAACATCATATGGGATACCAGATGGAGAAGAGAGAGAGTAAGGAATTGAAAACCTATATTTGAAGAAATATTGACAGAAAACTTCTCTAATCTGGTGGAGGAAATATAGAAGCCCAGGAAATAAGAGAGGTCCAATCAAGATGAACCCAAAGAGGCCTACACCAAGACACCCCATAATTAAAATGCCAAATGTTAAAGACAAAGAGAATCTTAAAAGCAGCAGGAGAGAAGCAGTTACCTACAAGGGAACATGCATAGACTGTCAGCTGATTTCTCAACAGAAACTTTGCAGGCCAAAAAAGATTGGCATGAAATATTCAAAGTGATGAAAAGTAAAAACCTACAAACCAAGATTACTCTACCCAGCAAAGCTCTCTTTTAGACTCAAAAGACAAATAAAGAACTTCCCAGACAAGAAAAAGCTAAAGGAGTTTATCACCACCAAACCAGTATTACAAAAAATGTTAAAGGGACTTCTTTAAGAAGAAAAAAATAAAAAATATATAAATAATATAATGGCAATAGCTATATATCTACCAACAATTACTTTAAATGTAAGTGGATTAAATGTTTCAGTAAAAGACACATTCAGGTAACTGAATGGATAAGAAAACAGAACCCTTACATATACCTCCTATAAAGAGACTCATTTCAGATGAAAAGGGATAGAAAAATATATTTCATGAAAATGGAAACAAACAAAAAAGCTGGTGTAGCAATACTTATACCCAACAAAATAGACTTTAAAACAAAGGTTATAACAAGGGACAAGGACCCAGTAATGCCACTTCTGTGTATTTACACAAAGAAACCCAAAACACTACTTCAAAGAGACCTGTTCATCCATATGTTTATTGCAACATTATTTACAGTAGCAAAGGTATGGAAACAACCTAAGTGCCCATAAATAGATGAATGGATAAAAAAGATGTACTTATATATAATGAAATATTACTCAGCCATAAGCAAAGAATAACATCTTGCCATCTGCAACAACATGATGGATCTAAAGGCTATTAGGCTGAGTAAAATAAGTAAGACAGAAAAAGATGGAAACGTGTGTGATTTTACTTATATGTGGAATCTATAAAATAAAATAAATGAACAAACAAAGCAGAAACAAACTCATAGATAGAGAACATTTTGATGGTTGCCAGATGGGAGGGTGATTGAGAGAATAGGTGAAGGGGTTAAAGGGATTAAGTGGTATAAATTGATAGTTACAAAATAGTCATGGGATATACAGTATAACAGGGAATATAGTCAATAATATTGTAATAACTATGGTGTTGATGGGTACTAGATTTATTGGGTTGATCAGTTTACAGGTTATACAAATGTCTAATCACTGCGTGGATACCTGAAGCTAATATAATTTTGTATACCAACTGTATTTGAAAAGAAAATATTTGAAGAAATATTTTAAAAATACCCCATAGTATTTTGTGTAAATTAGAATACTAATAAGGATGAATATTTAGCACAGTAAATTATACAAAATTCTCACTGAGTGTGCTGCTGTTATTATTATTATTACTAGCATTTTCTGCCTAGAGGTCCTCCAACCTCATATTCCATCTCAGAAGGATAAATTAGAATTTCTATTTATAAATTGTCTTTAAACTTATATATTGACTGCACACTGATAACAAGAGCATTTCAAGATGTGGCCTGCCTAGCCGGTCCTCTCAGCAATGACATTGTCCCGTCTTCTCTGGGCCAACAACCAAAGATCTGGAGAATCTTATTTCTTCATCATCCTTTGTGAGGGAAATAACAAAGAAGAGTAGTCTCTGGAGGTCTAGGACTAAAAAGGGTGTTGTTAGAGCCTTTTTGAACAAACATTGTCATTTTAGAACATATACATGATAGATACATACATACATACATACATACATACATAGATGATAGCTAGCTAGGTACATAGTATTAAAAGATGATCGTACTAGTAATTTTATATGTCCTTCTTTTCTTGGTCTGTTCGTTTTGCAATGAAGTATGGTACATTACCTTATAGTGTTGTTAGAGCCTTTTTGAACAAACACTGTCATTTTAGAACATATAGATGATAGATAGATATATACATACATACATACATACATAGATGATAGCTAGCTAGGTACATAGTATTAAAAGATGATCGTACTAGTAATTTTATATGTCCTTCTTTTCTTGGTCTGTTCGTTTTGCAATGAAGTATGGTACATTACCTTATGGTAGCCCACTAGAAAATTTGTTTAAAGTAGGATTTAGGTATGTGTAACATTTATAGCTTCTGATTTGTCACACAGTCGAACCAATATAGCCATGTGAAAGTTACAAACTAATAGGTTAACTTGTTTTTTTTAGGAGAGGAACTACTCATTCCCTGTCAAGTCTTTTTTACTTTCCTGAAGGACTCTCGCAATGAGATTTGGTGGACTATTGATGGAAAAAAGCCAGATGACACCACTATGGACATAACTATTAATGAAAGGTATCATTGGTGCAGCCAAGGGGTGACTAACACTTATGCCTCAATCTAATGCCCTCTGGTAGATTGCAATCTATGAAAAATAAAAATTTTAATGTTTTCTTATTGTTAACAAAAATCTGCAAGATTTTCAAGTCATTAGTAGCTGCTTTCCAAAGCAATCTGAGGCCCAGATTCCATGTGATGATCACACATTTATTATGTCTACTTGAAAATAGATAGAATGCATATCCTACATGAATGAAAAGGCCACAGTATAGGGTTATGGAGAGATGAAATCTTGTCAGCATGTCCCTGTTCTTCTCTTTCTCAAATCTGGAGTCTGGGCCTATAAGTATTTGTGCCTCAGATAATTGTGTTAGTTTCTTGTCTTACACTAAGAATGTATTTTCTGTCTTCCTTCTTGTCTTTCTTAATTCACATAACATATATGTCACAGAATTGATAATAATTTTTTTAGTACTGACTAAATACATTCATGTTCTTTAAGTTTTATTTTTAAAGTGAATGGAGTGGTAATATACTTCACACTTAAAATAACAAGTTGGGTCATTTTATTTTTAAATAAATATGAATTTTTTGAAGGGGGTTGGGTTAGCAAGAAGGAAAATACAAGTCTTTCAAGACAAAAGATTCCTCTGTAAAGAGAGCAATTGGTTCACTATAACTATTAATAAAATTAGCAGCTGATCAACTACATGACAAAGTACTTCTAAGACCTTAAGCCCTATTCCTAATGTATAAAAAGACCTTAGGCTAATAAAACTTCTAGAATTCAAAAGGTATTTCTGTTCTAGTAGTAAACTCCGACTTTGTACACATATTATAAAATGTCTATTTTGTATCAGGTACTATGCCAGATACTTAGTCCCTAAGTGGATTTTATAGGAGAAACAATGATAGAACCGAAATTTCAATACTATAATGTGATAAATGTAGTGGCTAGGGAGTATTACTTGTTGTGATAAAATTTAGTTGGGGATTCCGGTAAATTTTAGGGGATTAGTTCATGCTTCTCAGATAATACAGTACCTAAATAAAGATTTGAAGGATAAGTAGAAATAAATTAGGTAAAGAAATCAAAAGAATGGACCAGGTAAAAGAAACGTCATGTGCAAAGGCCTGGAGGGTAGAGAAGCAGAACATATGTAAAGGTACAAAGAAACTTCCTGAAATTGGAGCAACTTTTGCAGAAGGAGATAATGAAAGATGTGGCTGGAGATAGAGAGGGAGAGTTATTGATCATTTTGGGAATTCCAAAGATTGTGCTTTCTATTCTCATGATAGTAATGAATGATCATGAAAGCCATGGTGTTCCTCTTTGCGGCTATTGAAAGACGATTCACTATTCACAGATGAGCAGTATAGTTAAGCTTAGGCTAAACCCATCACAGCCCTTAACTAAGTTCTCATGATTGACAGCATACCTCATGAGAAGGAGAACCTGGATGTCAGTCTGCAATAGGAGGGATACTTTTTTTCCCTTTTGAGCAAAGTTATTCAAAGAGATTTTTAATCTTGATCTTCGACTTAAAGCATTTGGTCTCTGACTTGCTGAGATTTAGATATATTTATTTTCACAAAGTTTACTTGCTCTGAGAAGTTTCTGGTTAATGTTAGGATTTAATCGTGAGGTTTCAGCATTTTGACTGAAACAATCTGCCTTTGTTCAAAATCCAAGCTTGGGGAATCCCTGAAATGCCTCACCTATTACTATGAGATAATAATAATTGCACACATGAATATTTATTAAGCATTGTTCTAATAATTATGCATTAACATACTCAATCTTCAGAACTCTTGAGTAAATTAATACAGGTAATGCACTGTGCAGGCATTGCTACTTTCTTCCTTTTCAAAGGAACATCTCAAGACATAGAAAAATTAGTTACTGTGCCCAAAGAATATATATAGCCAAATGGATCTGGCCTCAAAAACTTCTTTCTAAACCAAAATAGTATCCTGCCTCACAAATTTAGGTAAAGGAGCCATTTTGCTTTGAAGAGAGAGCTGTATCTATAGTATGATGCCAACACTGGGATTTGATCTAGTTATTGGGATGGTGTAATATATAGATGGTAAAGAACGGTATTAGAATCTAGAGGCTATTTTTCTTTTGTAACCATTGGATCACAAGGCAACAAAGCTTATCATTGCACCTGCCCTCACCTAGGGCCTCTCTGATTGTCTACTTGTCTGATTCAAACACAGCACATGGTCCTTGAGTCTCACTAATGCTCTAATTTTCTTTCCCCTGTTTCTAGTGTCAGTCAGACCAAAACAGAAGATGAAAAAAGAACTCAGGTTCTGAGTATCAAGAAAGTAACTGCTGAGGATCTCAAGCGCAACTATGTCTGTCATGCTAGAAATGCCAAAGGGGAGGTTAACCAGCCCGCCAAAGTGAAGCAGAAAGGTAACGGATGCACTCAGCGGACGAATCTGTGAACTCCAGTATAACGCTGTGCTGACTAAGGAAAAAAGGAGAAATTGCAAACAAGCTCCAGCATTTAGCACAACATCTACCACATAGTAATAAATCAAAGTTGAATGAAAATCTTGAGGGAAAGTTTCTAGCTATATAAACATATTCAAAATAGTTTTTTAGTAACTTAGTGCCTAAATGTGGCTAAAAAAATCTATGAGTATGATAATGAGGCATAATTTCATACCTATACAGTCATTAAAAATGAAAAATAAATAAAAAATTTAAAGCTACCAAAGATTTAATAAAATAGAGTCACATATTGTTGGTGAATTATAAGGATTCTTTTAGAAATCATTGCTGGAAGGTTAAAGAGTCATAAAAATAATCAAACCATGCAACTTAAAAGTTTTCAGAATTTTTTCTGAATAAATAATGGAAAGAGAATTATGTACCAATCAATATTTGTAGAAGCATTATCTAGGATAATGAAACATTATAAATAGCAACCATCTAATTGTATGCAAGTAGTTAAGTAAGACGAAATATTTGTTCTCAAAAAATATAATTTTTAAATGATCACTTTAAATACTATGTATCAATATTCAAGCAGGTTTATAATATACCACTAGGCACAATTGCTAAAACGAAAATTAAACTATGACTTAAAATGATATAAAATGATTTCTATGTTGATATTACTGTTTTTCTACAAGAAATAAAAATTATAAAGCTTTCTTGTGTAAGCTGTTGCTCTTAAAACAGACTGTATCTAAAATTCTCTTTGGTTTTCTCATTGAGCACAGAACCCCAATTAACCCCTTCAAGAATGCTTTTAAATGATCTAGAGAAAGATAATAATGATTTATCACACATGCAGTCAGGTCATTCAGAATTTTCCTGGATCTCTGTTTCAGATAGTGCCTATAATATTTCAAAAGTAAAGAAAAAAGTTAATTTGTAACTGTTACATTTTGCAATGGGATTTAAACCTATTTTTTAAAAATTTTTTCAAGAATACAGTACATTGCTTAGACATGTATATAGTTTATGAAATGATCCTTCGATTATTCTGTCACCCCTCTGGCTCTACACATAGCCATTACATTGCGTCTACATTCCCTATGCCGTGCCCCCCATCCCCATGACCTATTGACTACTAATTTGTACTTCTTTAATCCTTCACCCCTTTCACCCAGCCTCCCAACCCCTGTCCCCTCTAGCCATCACCAGATTGTCTGCCCTTTTAAAGCTGATAAAATCACAAGCTTCACCTTAACATTTTTATTACAATTGAGAAGTAAAGACCAAAGGCCTAAAGTGTATATGCCTCTTAAGAGGTCTTAGTAGATTGGTTCTAGATCGTTGTCTCTGCTCCTCAGAAGCCAGTGTAAGGAGAAAAGACTCAATTACATGAGGCAAGGCAGTGTTTTCCAAAGTTAGTTCCTAAGAATACTACTAAGACTCTAGATTCAGATGGCCTATGTTCAAATCCTGGTTTCTGTGCATTCCAATTCTCTGACGTTGGAAGAGACACGTCACCTCTCCGAGCTTCAATGTATCTATATTTAAAGTAGGCAAAATAGTACCATTACTTCATAAGGTTTTTTAAAGTTCTCAGCACAGTTACTAGCATATATACATATATATTAAATGCACAATAAATGTTAGCTCTTCTTATTATTTCTGCAAGATTTTCCTGGGTATTATTTGACAAAGGCTTGTATAACCAAGTAAGTATCATTAAAGTCTAGGTTAAACAGAAACAAGTTACTTTAGTGTAGGTTCTTTAGAATCTTTAACATTAAAATTGGTATGAGTATCTTCAGGGGGTTGGAATACAGTAGGCAAGATGTTTTCAAATATATTTGACTACAGATTCCTTAAGTATGGAACATTTTGTGGGACTTGTCCTCAGAGGCATTGTTTTGGGAAACAATTATGTAGGCTGACATAAATTAATACCTTATTGTCAGATGGATAGGATCAATACAGTTAAAATAATGTTGAATCTAGGAGCGATGCAGAAGTCTGTCCACCAGAGCTAGTTGAGTAGCTCCGTTTTTATAAAAGGGCACTCTGAATGATCATGGATGTGAAGTGATAAGTGCATTCACTAGACCAGATTTTGTCTTCTTCATTGATTTTCACAATTATACGATATCCTTTGGTGCAGTTTTATTTTTACGTATCTTATATAGTGTTCTTTAAACTTCTTGTTTTGGTCAGTTTATATTTTTAATTTAATTTGAAAAAATGTAGCTATTATTTCTTCAAATATTTATGCCCATCCGTTTATTCATTTATTCTTTCCTTTTCTTCTAGTATTCCAATTAATTTAGGATATAGCACTTGGTGTAGTCCTACAGATCACTGAGGTTCTCATTATTTTTATTTCATCATTTTTCCCCCTCTGTGTTTTATTTAGGATAATTTTTAGTGTCCACTGATTGTTTCTTTTCTGATGTCTAATCTGCAGGGTTCTTAATTTGAAATTTTATTTTTCAGTTTTTTGAATTTCCATTTCTTCATCAAAATATCTATGTTGGTATTTCCTGTTTGTTCTTATAATGCTCAAGGTCTTTTTGGAAAAAATTAACAAGCATATTTATAATTTTAATTTTAAAGTATTTATCTGATAATTCCATTGTCTTTGTCAATTCTGGTTCTGTTTTTACTGGCTAGTTTTTCTTCTGATTATGGGTCTTTTTTTTTTTTTTTTTTTTTTCATTTTCATCTGTCTAGTATTTTGTTTTTCACATTACGTTAGACATTATGGATGTTATGTTAAGTGTCTGAATTTTATGAATATTTTGTTCTAGCAGGTAGTTAATCTACTTGCATAACAGCTTGCTTTTTTTTTTTTTTTTTTTTTTAAGCATCTTGCTTATCTTTACTTTCCCTAAGGCTATTTTGGACCTAGCCCAACTGAGATTTCTATTTAATACTTGAAGAGCTAAGTTTCTTTACTCTGAGCGGTCTTAACTCAAATACTAGTCTCCCAGCCCTGCATGTACTAGAATTGTTCAGTTCCCAGCTCTCTAGTTTCTGTTTATTCCCTGGTCATTTTTCTTTCACTAGTAGCATTTCTTCTTTCACTAGTAGCATTTCTTTCACTAGTTTTGCATATGAAAAGTGACATTTCACAAGGTCAGGCAAATAAATAAGTGATTTTTTAATTCACTTATTTATTTGCCTGACCTTGTGAAATGTCACTTTTCATATGCAACACTTTGTATATTTCCAAATACTTGCGATTCCTAGAGGTCTTTTTTTACACAGTTTTCTTTTCTTCACTTCCTAGGCCTGTAAGTTCAACAGTCCTGAACTCTACTTTGTCTCCTTAGCTCAGAGTGACTACTGTACTTTTGGTTTTCCCCTTTTCTGTGCCGCAGTCCCAAAAGTGCCTTCAGGCAATAAGCCAGGGTGATTGTGGGTCTTACCTTTTTTGTGCCCTTTCTCTCACAGATCACACTCTTGCACTACCAGTTGTCCAACTTTGAAAAACTGTTATTTTACGTATTATGGAGAGGCAGCTACTCCAGTATCAATTACTCTTCTAAGAGGCTGAGGTCCAAAAATGGGCAAGGTTTAACACACTAAGATAGCCAAACAAATTTGGTCTGAAAGTCAATTCAACGACTGGGTTACTATCATTTAAATAAAACATTCTCTTTGTCTGTAATCAGAGAAAATGATCATCACCACAGTTCCAAAAATTATGAAGTCCCAGCAATTTAGCAAAGAACAGCAGGGAATACTTGAAAGTCTGAGCAGCTGACATTTTGGCTTGGAGACTCAATAGATAGCAAGGCCCCAATAACAATAATGAAGATGAAGTGACTAAAATAGGTTTCCAAGGAGAAACAAGTGTGTAGGCTAATAACTTGAAACAGGGAAAAAGACTAGAGCTAAGGTATTAGACTGGTTTCACCACGGGTGGTTTGCTGGAATTTGGGGCTTTGGAGCCAGTTATTACTGTAGAATTGCAAAACAGAGTGGGAATTCTGATTCGGGAAGTAACAGCAGAGCAAGTGGCTACATTTGGCTACATCCTAAAGCAGATTATCAGTGAGATCGAAGAGAAAAGCAGTTTAGGAGTCCAAAGTGATCAAATTTCATCACCTCTTTCTCATTGGAAACCCCTTTGTCTGAGATTACATCAGAGTAAAATCTTTATGCAAAACATCAGACATTCCATCTGGGGCAGACAGAAAATGTGGGCTGAGGGTCACCCTATTCCTGCAAGCCAGCAAAGCTTTATATGAAAGTTTTTAGAGTACTTCCTGCATGTGAAATTTAAGCCACTCAGAAATTTAAGCTTGTGAACTATTTATCTTAAGAGTTCAGTCGGTTAAATAGTATTAAGAACATCTTGATATCATCAAGATGGTCCCACAAAATACAATCTGTAAATATAACACATGTAATTTGTATGACACAAAACAAAATTTAAAAACCCCACTAGAAATAAAATAGGCAGTAATGAAATGAATGTGGCAGAGGGAAATTTATGAAGATAATTGATCTCTTGATCGTTAAGCAAGCTATTTATTGATATTTTAAAAAATCCATTTCAGGTAAGTTTGTCTACTGACCTCTTTTTCTTCCTCTTTATTACAAAATGCCTACCCAGAGGGAGCCAAAATAACTGAGCAAATAATGAAGTTGACAGTGGGAATTACCCCAGTGTACTGTTAACATAACAGGTACTCCAAATACCAAGGACACAGCAGTTTTCATGCCAGCTACCCAAATTGAACTTAGTAAATTCTCAACAACCTCACTGACATAGCTTCTGGCATTTTATGATGGAGTTTTCTTAAAGCACGATTAGTCATGGAATGAGTGCAAAAATACCCCATGATAATTCTGCACTGGTGAGTTCCAGGCTATATCTGCAGCAGGGTTCTTATCCTGAGTTTAAGGTAATGAACTCAAAACTGTGATTTGCCCTTTAATTAGAGAACTTTAGATGCAACTCCAGGCTGCTTACCATTTTCCCTTTGGAAGATACCTGTTTTAAAAGGGATTTTTTCACTAGTGTATGATCAGTAATGGAACTTCATGGTAGTGTTATGCCAAGTTCTCTGGACTTTGGAGTCAGGGAGTCTCAATAAGCCCAGCTATACACAAAATTCTTCTATGCCTTGTCTCAGCAAATGCTTACCACCTACAGTGTTCAGGTGCTCAAAAAGCTTTTTCTCACCATCCTACTTAATACACCTTTCCTGCCCCAACCATCTGTCACCTCCATCACATTACCCTAGTTTATTTCACCTCCATCACATTACCCTAGCACTGATCATTATCTAAAAATTATTATTATGATATCCTTTGGTGTGGTTATATTTTTATGTATCTTATTTAGGGTCTTATTTTTTTATTTTCTTATTTA